AACGTTTCAGCAACAAAAATGCCATGTTTAACTCGTTTCTAGTTATGTTAGCATGCGTGTTAATTTACAATAAGAATATCATCATAGGACATGACAAATTCTTAAAAGTTATGATGCCAAACTTTATTAATTGACACCTTTTGTCAGGTTTACTATTCAAGCATTTAAGAAATAACATAACTTACCTCAGGCTTGTTCTTCGGACCGCTTAGATTTATTACTCTCGCGCTGCTCCACTTCTGAACGTTAAAATTGCGCGGAAAAATGAATTATGGGATACACGACAAAACAATTAGTGAGAGGGGTGACGGCAGCTCATCACCATCCTACCCATAATCCTGATTGTGGGACAAGCAGTTCTTAACAAATGTATAAAACGAATGAACTTTGCGGGATATTATTGAACAAAAACACCTTTAAACGGTTGATTACTGCTAATTAAAAGAATTAAAAACAATTTTCAACAAAAACAATTTTCAACTGCTTTAACTAGATTATAATTGTCAGTATTACTTCCTGCTTGCTCTTACGCTATGTTGATACCCCCAAAGAAACAGAATCAGCTATAGCACAGTAAATGGAAATGAACGTTTAACGTTTTCTGGTATGCCCACATATTCATTATGTTTAAATGGGCAACCCAAATGGGCCCCACTAATATCCAAAGAACTCACTATGAATATGAAAATGGAAAAACATATTTTTAAACGTATGCATAATAAAAGCAACATAAATTAATATTTTGGATATATTTATGCCAAAATTACAAAATCTTTGTATACCCAAATAAACCCACAAAGGGCCCATGTGTGCCCTATATGTACAGGTTTGCTGGGCTTCCCACATACATCCCACTATAAACTTTCCTAGGCAGCCCAACAGGGCCCCAGTATCAGCCCGTTTACTAGCCCACTTAGAACCCATGCCCACGTGGAACCCGACCAGCCCACTTTAAACCCATGTTGGCCCCACAAGGGCGTGTTAGCTGGGTATCGTTTTTTTTGACACATGCCTCAGAGTTTCGGTGTCAAGCTTAACATGACTACCTGCCACTCTCTGACGACAGTTATAGATAATTTGTTTGAGTTTGCGATTATATCGACTTAGAAGAGTTTGCACACGTAAATGTTAGCAGTTTTTTTAGCCGGTTAGGCGGTATAGTAGATAGGTTATATACACGCAAATAAAACCACAAGGAAATTCATTGTAAACAAAACACGGCAGATATTTTGGCGCGCTGGAGAATCGCGATCAAATGCTAGTCCGTCACTTCCGGTAAGTGCAAAACGAGCACACGCCCATGGTAGTGTGCAGACTGTGCACTACAGAAGGAAGTACGCAGTGCGCACTACGCACTATATCTCAGTGCACTGATGCAAGTGTGCGATTTCGGACACACCCATAATGATGTAATTTCTTATAATGTTATATATTACACAGTACGAAAAACAAGTACATTTAATTATAAACAAGAAAGTTTTTTTTATTCTGCTTTAGATATGTTTGTGTTTTTAATGCGTAGTTTATATTCAGTTATATATAACTTTTATGTGTCTGTGTGTGTATGTAAAACCACTCTTTACCCAATAGGAACTAAACACTTACAGGAAATACTGGACTGTTAGGACGTCGGACTGTTTCCGGTGTGGGACCAACGACTTATGGTGTGGTTGTTATAGTTCTCTTTTTTGTTATTTTTTGTAACATATATAAATATTATTTAATAAATTATATAGTTGTAACGTAGCTGCACATAAATATCCGTATATCTGCTCACACATATGTATATGCGTGTAACATATGGAACGTCTTCATGAGCTTTATTAAATATTTAGCGTCCCGTATGACACAATGTGCCTTGTATGTATGTCGTGACATACAAAATTAAAACTCCTTTATTATTGACCAGGAACAGTGAACTGCAACGTTGCAATATTTCTTTGAGGAAAAATGACGTTGTTTCATTTTGGGAACTGTTTTGCTTTGGCATATTTCCCATATTTCATTACCTACAAGTGCAGTGGACTGTGAGTAAGCTTTAAAAATATGTACACATTTTCCAGATTCCAAACTTATACAATTGATATTGCTATTGCTTTTTATGTGTGTAAAACCTTACTATGTTTTATATGGCTTCTACAGATCAGAGTACAATGCTTTTTGGAGATGTGTTCAGGCTGGTGCTACTTATCTTTTTGTGCAGCTCTGTAAGGTAAACGAAGATTTGTATTTTTATTGAAATGTTTCTTTAAAAAATATTAACCTAGGACCTGGCTACTAATCTGCATTTTGTCTTTTTGTTTAAAATTACATCTTGGTCCATGTCTTATGTATCTTACTAATATCCTTATGTCAGAAATATTTCCTTTCCTCTTTTCACTTTTGCCCCCATTATTCTGTGTACATTTTTAAAATTTAGCATTTGCCTTTCGTGTAATAGCTGGTCTAATGCACAGTAAATAAAATTTTCGTGTTCCAGATGCTGTTCCTTGCCACATTTTTCCCCACCTGGGAAGGTGGTGCTGGTGTGTATGACTTTGTTGGGGTAAGTTATAGTTTATCTTGTTTTGTCAAACGTGGTACTTACTTTTTTCCCTTTCAAAATATGCTGTTAACTGTTTTGCAATATGAAGACCCTTTCTTAAAGCTGGAACCACTTAGTGTTACATCACACCCTCAAGGTTTCACGCAAGGTGTGGTTTGAGTTTAGCACATTCTTCCTCTGTTCCTGTGGATTTCATCCAAGTGCCCAGGTTCCACACTCTAAAAACCCTGGTTCATTCCATTTTAATTCAGCAAATTTCCAAGAACGTTTTTGCATCACCATCACAAGTACACATAGCTCCCAAGTTCAAAAATGAATAAAACCCAGTTTGAGAGAATTTTCTCAGGTCACCCTCTTAGATTCCTCAGAAAAAAAAAATTACAGGTGCTCCTATACCCAACTTATGGAGAAATTCCAAGTATTATATCTATATCTCTAATAGTTTTTAAACTACAGCCCTTTGAATTTTTAATTAATTGAATTTGTTTTGCTGAACAAGTCTTTTGGGCCAACTTCCGACTTTCATAGCTGATTTCATACAGCATGTACAGCTTTGAAACTTTATGACAAGGCATAACTTTTGTTTAGAATTCAAAAATATAATCAGATCAGATATCTCTGAAAATGGCCAAAAATTCAAAACAACGCCCCATTTTTGAGAGCTAGATGAAAGAGTTTTTCCCCTGTCATTTATGACATATTAGGCCATGTGTATGCAGTAACCATACAGCTCCTGAAAAAATTAAGAGATGACTCCATATTTAAAAAAAAAAAAAAAAAAACTATAAACCAATTTTTAATATCCTAGTTTAATCCTGGTTCTGCTGACATAAAGGTGCATCCCCTATTATAGATGCCATACATTTGAGGGTGAAGATGTGGGTTTGCCTCACCCAGGATAAATGTAGTCACACTGGTCCTGTGAGCAGCACGTCATATCTTTCTCTCCATCTGACCACTTTTTTTTTCAGGGAGCTTACTGCAGCGGTGATATGTTGCCATTCCACACTTTTTTTAAATTGAACTTTGTCATCATTGTACAAAGTAATAGTACACAGACACCAAAATGTAGTTTGGCATCTAATCTAAAAGTGAAATTAGTGCAAAAGTATTAGAAACAGCTATACAATGTAATAAACAGTGTATCTATAATTTTTTTTGCGTGGGATAAATGTTAATAAGCCCAGCAGTATGCCATTTTGTTGTTTCAAATTAATAATTTTTTTATTTATAGTTGCTGTCGACTTGATTTGCATATTATATGAGCAAGCAGTTCATTTGCATGAACTATTTGTGGGTGGTAACTGGACAGGATCCCAGGCTCATGTCTGGACGTGCATTTAAAAGATAAATCGGAACTATCTGGTTTATACTGCATATGTACACTCCATGGACAAAAGTATTGGACACCTGGCTATTACACCTACAGGAACTTTTATGACATTCCATTCTAAATCTATAGGCATCAATATGGAGCCGGTCCCCTCTTTGCAGCTACGATAGCTGCTACTCTTCTGAGAAGGCTTTCCACAAGATTTTGCCATGTGTCTGTGGGAATTCTTGCCCATTCATTCAGAAAAACATTAGTGAGGTCAGGAACTGATATTGGACATGAAGGTCCAGCTCACAATCTCCATTCTAATTCATCCCAGAGCTATTTCATTTGCTTGAGGTCAGGCCAGTCAAGTTTATCCGCACCTAACTCATCCCAACCATGTCTTTATGGACTTTATGCATTGCTTTATGCATTGCAACAGAAAAGGGCCTTCCCCAAAGTCTCCCCCCAAAGTTGGAAGCATTGAGTAGTCTAAAACGTCAAAAAGGCGAAATTTTCATCCCCAAAATACTTTACACACTTCAGTTTGCTTTAAGTTGTTTTTATGAAAGAAGTGGATTAAAAGAGAGGTGAAATTGGTGTGTCATTTGTTCAGAGCCTCATAAACACCTACAATAGCAAAACTTTTTTTTCCACTTGAAAGCGGCTGAAGAGTACTTTCTTCCCAATTAAGTAAAAAAAAATGAGCCCTCCCCATATGCCTATTTTGAGGCTCAGAAATGGCATAAAAATACTAATGCACTTTTGTGGTGCTGATCTCATGAACAGGATAGAAAGTTTTGGGGTGCTTGCTTAATTCTGTAAAATTATTGCAAATTTATTATGTTCATAACAAAAAACAATACTTTGCTCATTGTTTACCAAAATATCAATTAGAAACAATCGGTAGATTGAAGTAAAACATTCATTTCAAGTAGTAGTAAATTTAAAACCAAATTATGGTTCTAAAGGAGCTGTTCTGAGTTAAAAGTTCATTGACAAGCAGTCTCATTGGGTGCTTTTAATTAGTAAAACCTTTGAAATAATAAAAAACACCAAACTTTTCTGTTTAGTATCCCTTTGGAGCCAATAACTACAATTGCAATTGATAGCAAAACGGCAATACAGAACTGAATGAGTCAGTTTAAAAATTGACAATTAATACAAAGAAAATGTCTGTCTGGGCTTTTGTTATGAAACCAATAAATTTGCAACCTATTTACATAATTAAGCAAGCAGACTTTGAGCACTGTATTTCATGATAGAAAATTGACTTCTTACTCCAAGCCCTTCGTTGTTTTTCTTTTTTTGTAATAACCAAATGTAATTCAAAAAGGTTCCCAAAAGATGAATTTTGACCTTGAGAAAAGAAATTTAGACTTGTGCAAAATATTAAAAGCTAAATTTGACCATATCATGAAAAAGTACTGTTTTTGAGGTTTACAATGACCTGTAGATGACAAATGTAGGTGTTATAGTAAAAACATGACAGCTTATGAGAAAACACTCAATATATATCATGAAACTTAAATTTTTTTGCTACCCATGGGGTAGAAAAGGGAAAATATTTTATAGATATTTTAAAATAAATAGAAAAAATATCTGAGCTCTGGAAGGTATGTGTAATTCCCATGCCAGATTTCATCAAAATTAAAAATGGTGATGTAGTTCAACAGGTAGAGCATAATGCTAGGGAGCATATATGAATTGTAACCCTTCCCTCCATTGTAAGTCACTTTGGTTAAAAGTGTCAGATGAATTAAAATTAGGGATGGGCCGATCCACATTTTTTCAGTTCCAATCCAATTCCGATACACAACTGCCGATACCGATACATATTCCGATACAAGAGCTCTTTTTACTTTGTTATACTTTATATATAATTTTTTTAAGCTAGTCAATACAGATGGAAAAAATGTATGACAAAAAATATTTAATTAGGCTACTACAAACATACATAACGTACTGTTCCACTTCGTTTGTACATCTTGTTTTAATTGTTTCTGAGGCATTTGCAGTTCAATCTTCAAAGCAAGTATACACAAGTCGCGAATGCTTAAAATTTTAACACAATTTTTCTCCCATTACCATCAGCTCAGTTACACTTTGTTGCAATGGCAGCCCCATTGCAGCGAGTTCGCAAAACAGTCCAAGGTAGCGACTCTCAAATCATCCATTGCTTTTTTTTTGTCTTGCACATTTTGTCGTGTGCTTTAAGTGGGATTGTCCATTAAACGCTATTCCCATCTCTCAACTTTATTTTACAAAGATTGCAAATCACTGTGCTACTGGTTTCTGTTAAAAGCGTAAAATACTCCCAGATCGCCACGTCTTATCTTACGCTCCTCGTACTGCAAAGGGTATGTGCATGACGTCACAGCAGGTGACTGTACTCACACCCACTGAGTAGTAAAAAAGACTGAGGGGCAGTGTTAGTGTTCGATTTGAATGCCACAAAAAACACATGTAAAATGGGAAAGAGCTGTCATGCTATTGATTGTACAAATAGATTTAACACGAAATAGGAGCCAAAAACTAAATAAGTAAGTATAGGACGTGGATCGGTCACGCATGGCCGATGGCTATCTGTCAAATAGGTCTGGATCGGTGCATCTCTAATTAGAATGCAAATTAAATGTTATACAAAAGCTATTTGATGAATTAAAATGGAATGACTCCCCAGTTATGGTTATGATCCCCAAGTCATGGTTAAATGTTACTTCTGTGTTGCTTTTAGGTTGTTTCATTCCATCATTCAGCCAAAATTACATGAAAATATACATTTTGCAACCATACCATAAATATTAGTCTTTGTGTGAAGATCTGTAGGTACAACTCTAAATTTCCAATGAATTTATATATATATATATATATATTTATTGCAGGAATTCATGAAGGCTACTGTGGATTTGGCTGACCTTCTGGGAATTCACTTGGTCATGTCCAGGAATGCTGGCAAGGGAGAGTACAAAATAATGGTGGCAGCCATGGGCTGGGCCACTGCAGAGCTAGTCATGTCCCGGTATGCAGCCATTGAAATGCAGATATTGACAGTTGCCACTTTAACAGTGACTGTAATGAATTGGTTCAGAAGGACTTTTGTTGAAGAGAATAGAAGTCAGGGACTGTATAATTGAACTGAATTGATTGCTAACTTGTCTGTTGTATTGAAATATTGTATGGAAAGTATAGTATATTTTAGTCATGGGAAACCAATTTAATTATAACTCTGCTAGGTCATGAACAATGTCTAAAAAATATGCAATATTTCCATTTTTAAAAATTGGGATAAATCATTTTGGGTCTTAC